ATGATTTGAGCCGGTTTGGGGCCGTTTTGGGATGATTTGAGCCGGTTTTGGGGGGGTTTGGGATGATTTGAGCCGGTTTGGGGCCGTTTTGGGATGATTTGAGGCAGTTTGGGGCCGTTTTGGGATGATTTGAGCCGGTTTTAGGGGGGTTTGGGGCCGTTTTGGGATGATTTGAGCCGGTTTGGGGCCGTTTTGGGATGATTTGAGCCGGTTTGGGGTCAGTTTTGGGATGATTTGAGCCGGTTTTAGGGGGTTTGGGGCCGTTTGGGATGATTTGAGTCGGTTTTGGAGGGGTTTGGGGTCGTTTTTGGGCAATCAGAGCCGGTTTTGGGGGTTTAGGGCCGTTCCCCCGCAGCCGCGTGTCGCGTGTCCGGCCCCCACACGTTGCCATGGCAACCCCGCACCCGCCACATGGTGACACCCCCTCAAACTGGGGGGACACGACCCCCCCCACGTGACACAGCACCGGGGGGTTGGGGTGTGACCCCCAAACCGTGTGACACCCCCTCCCCAAAAAAAAACACCCTCCGGGGGGGTTCAGGGACCCCCCAAAATCCCCCAGGCCTCGGGACCCCAAAACCCCTCCAAATCACCCCCAAATCATCCCAAACCCCTCCAAAATCACCCCAAAATCATCCCAGCCCCCCCAGAATCACATACTGGGACTGGGGGGGGGTGTTGGGGACCCCAGGAGTCCCCAGGACCCCCAGGGCCCCCCCAATTAGCACACAGTGGCCCCCCAGGACCCCCAAAATGGGTCAGGGACCCCCAGGACCCCCGAGAGGACCCCCAGAACCACAGAACTGCCCCCCAGCCCAGAGCAGCCCCCAAGGGAACAGAGAGGACCCTCAGGACCCCAAAATCCCCCCAGGACCATAAAGAGGCCCCCAGTGCCCCCCAAAGATCCCCAGGACCCCCAAAGATCCCCAGGATCACCAAGTACCCCCGGACCCCCAAAACCACAGAGAACACCCCAGGACCCCCCAGCACCACCAGGACCCCCCAGGATCCCCAAAACCACAGAGAGGCCCCCAGGACCCCCTCAGCACCCCCAGGACCAACGAGCCGCCCCCCAGGACCCCCAAAACCACCCTGAGCCCCCGAACCCCAGGAGCCTCCCAGGACCCCCCAAAAACCACAGCAAGGACCCCCAGGTACCCCCCAGCACCTCCAGCACCCTCAGGACCCCCGAGGACTCCCAGGACCCCCCGCACCTCTAGGAGCCCCCAGGACCCCCAAACCACAACAAGGACCGCCCGAGATCCTCACAGGTCTCCCCCAGCACCTCCAGGACTCCCCAGGACCCCCCAAAGCCTCAAAGGACCTCCAGGACCCTCCTGAGGACCCCCAGGATACCCCTCAGGCCCCCCAGCATTTCCAGCACCCCCAGGACCCCCAGCACCTCCAGCACCCCCAGGACTCCCATAACCCCTCCGACCCCCATAACCCCTCCGGACCCCCCAAAACCACAGCGAGCACTCCCGGGACCCCCTGGGACCCCTCCAGGAACCCTCCAGGAACCCCCGGGACCCCCGAGCGCCGCCGCCCGCCCCCTGCGCCCCCGGGCCTCCGCGGGTACCTTGGTGGTGACGATGCACAGACAGTCCATGGCGGCCGCTCATGGGCCGGGGGGGCGCGGGGGGGCCCGGCAGGAGGAGGAGGAGGAGGAGGAGGAGGAAGGACGGAGGGGGGGATGGAGGAGCCGGGGATGGAAAAGGAAAGGATGGAGGGGGGGATGAGGAAGGAGCGGGAGGGAGGAAGGAGAGGGAGGAGGGAGGGATGGAGGGATGGAGGGATGGGGGAGGAAGATGAAGGAGCGGGAGGGGGATGAAGGACCAGGAGGAGGAGGAGGAGGAGGAGGATGGAGGGGATGAAGGGCCGGGAAGAGGGGGAGGAGGAGGAGGAGGAGGAGGGAGGAGGAGGAGGAGGAAGGATCGAGGGGATGAAGGAGCGGGAGAGGGAGGAGGAGGAGGAGGAGGAGGAGGAAGATGCAGCAGCGGGGAGGGAGGAAGGAGCGGGAGGAGGATGAAGGAGCGGGAGGGGGAGGAGGAGGAGGAAGATGCGGGAGCGGGGAGGGGATGAAGGACCAGGAGGAGGAGGAGGAGGAGGAGGAGGAGGAGGAGGAAGATGCAGCGCCGGGCAGGGCTGAAGCACCGGTGCGCGTGGGGAGGAGGAGGAGGAGGAGGAGGAAGATGCAGCAGCGAGGAGGAGGAGGGGGAGGAGGATGAAGGACCAGGATGAGGAGGAGGAAGGACCGGGATGAGCAGGAGGAGGAGGAAGGACCGACGAGGGGGATGAAGGCCCGGGAGGAGGAGGAGGAGGAGGAGGATGAAGGAGCGAGGGATGAAGGACCAGGCTGAGGAGGAGGAGGAAGGACCGGAGGATGAAGAGGATGAAGATGAAGGAGGACGAAGATGAAGGCCCGGGGGGAGGATGAGGATGAGGATGGAGACGGGGGTGAGGGGAGGGGGATGAAGATGAAGGCCCGGCGGGGGATGAAGGCTCGGGAGGAGGAGGAGGAAGATGAGGAGGATGAAGGCTGGGGATGGAGGAGGAAGGAGTGGGGGATGAGGATGGAGAGGGGGTGGGATGAAGATGAAGGATCGGGAGGATGAGGAAGGAGCGGGAGGAGGATGAGGAAGGAGCGGGAGGAGGATGAGGATGGAGCGGGAGGGGGATGAAGGCCCGGGGGGTTTTGGGAGCCCCTGAGCCCTGTTTGGCGCCGAAGGAGCTTCGGGATCCGGTGGGAATTTGGGGGTGGGTGGGGGTCCGTGGGATTTGGGGATTTTTGGGGTTTCGGGGGATCCGGTGGGATTTTGGGGGGATCCGGGGGTTCGGGACCGGGGGGACGCGATGGCAGCGGGCGGCGGCGCGGGGGAGGGGCGGCACTGGGAGGGGCGGGGCCAAGGGGAGGGGAGGGGCTTCGGGGTCCTGGGGAGGGGCAGAGGAGAGGGAGGGGCTTGGGGTCTCAGGGGGGGTCCTGGGGATCCTGGTGGGGGTCTCGGGGTCCCTGGGGGAGTCCTGGGCGGTCCTGGGGGCCCAGAGGGGGTTTTGAGGGGGTCCTGGGGGTCTCGGAATCCCTGAGGGGTCAGGGGGTCGGGGAGCTCTGGGGGTCTTTGGGGGGCTCTGAGGGGGCAAAGCGAGGGAAGGAGGGGCTGGGGGGTCGCAGGGGAGGTCAGAGGGGTCTCGGAGGGGGGTCCCAGGGGTCTTGGGGCAGTTCTGGGGGTCCTGAGTTTTTTTTTTTTTGGGGGTCCCGCGTTTCCCTGAGCCGGGGGTCGGGGGTCCAGGGGGTCCCAGGGGAATTTTGGGGGGTCCAGGTTACCCTGAGCCAGGGGGTTGGGGGTCGCCTCGGTCACCGTCGCCTCGTAGCTCTCCTGGATGTCTGGGGGGGTGAGGGGGCAGGGGCGTGTGACCCCCTGGACCCCCAAATCCCCCGAACCCCCAAATCCCCCCGAAAACCCTCCCCAATTTCCCCATCTCGACCCCAACCCCTCTCCGTTCCCCCGTACCCCTCCCAAATTCCTCCTCAACAACCCTCAGCACCCCTAAAATCCTCCCCCAGCCCCCAAACTCCCCCCAAACCCCCCACCCCCAGCTCCCCCAAACCCCCAATTTCCCCCAAATCCCCCAACCCCCTCCAAAATCCCCCACCCCCCACAAGCCCCTCCCCAGCCCCCAAATTGCTCCCCCGTACCGAGCAGGGCCTGGAACAGGGGCTCTGCAGGACCCCCAAAGCTGCTGCGCCCGGAGCCGGGGGTCCCAGCGCTCCTCCAGCAGCTGCCGCGCCCCCGCCCCTGCCACCCCAAAATCGGGGCGGGGACCCCGAAAACGGGTCAGGGACCCCCAAATGGGGTCGGGGACCACCAAAACGGGTCAGGACCCTCAAAATGAGTCAGGGATCCCGAAACGGGTCAGGGACCCTCAAACCACCCCTGGGACCCCCCAAACCGGGTCAGGGACCCCCAAAAGGGGGTCGGGGACCCTCAAAACTGGACCTGGGACCCCAAAAACCCACCCTGAGACCCCCCACGAGTTTGGACCGAGGACCCCCGAACGGACTTGGGGACCCCCAAAAATGAGTCCAGGACCCCACTAACCACCCCCAAGTCGGGTCAGGGACCCCCCAAATGGGGTCAGGGACCCCCCGGACCAACCCTGGGACCCTCAAAAAGAGTCCAGGATCCCCCCTCCCCAACCCCTCCCCAGTCCCCAGTTTGGGGCACATCCCCCTTTGCCCCCCTTAAACCCCCCAAACCGAGTCGGGGCCCCCAAACCGAGTGAGGGACCCCGGGGACCCCCAGCCCCCGGACCCCTCGGAGCCCCCCGGAGCCCCCGGACCCCCCAACTCACCCTCCGTGCCAGCGCCATGGCCGGGCTAATCCCGGCTCAGCCCCGGCTTAGGCGGGGATTTGGGGAGACCCCTCGCCCCCTGTGACCCCCACGCCCCCCCATGACTCCCCTGCCCGGGGCATGGCGGAAATGGAGTCCCCAGGAGAACCCCCAAAATCCGGGACACGGGGGGCTCGGACACCCTTTATTGAGGCAAAGCTTTGGGAACGGGGGAGAGGAGAGACTCCCCAAAAAATTAAGGCAGAACCCCCAAAAATTAGGAGATGCCCCCAAAATATTAAGGAGACCCCTTCCCGAAAATTAAGGCAGAACCCCCCAAAATTAGGGAGACACCCCCTCCCTTAAATTAAGGAGATCCCCCCCAGATTAAGGGAGAAGCTCCCAAAATGAGGAAGAGACTCCCCAAAAAAAGGTTAATTTGGGGCCAGGGGAAAGAGTTGGGGTCTGGGGGTTTGGGGTCTGGGGGCTTTGGGGAGTCTCAGAATCTGAGGGGGTTTGGGGGAGTGTTTTGGGGGTCTCAGAATCCCAGGAGGGTTTTTGGGGTCTCAGAATCCAGGGGGTTTTTGGGGGGGTTTTTGGGGGCTCAGAATCCCAGGGGCATTTTGGGGGATGTTTTGGGGTCTCAGAACCCCAGGGGGTTTTGGGGGTTGGGGTCTCAGAACCCCAGGGGTGTTTTTGGGGTGTTTTTGGGGTCTCAGAACCCCAGGGGGGTTTTGGGGGGGTTTTTGGGGTCTCAGAACCCCAGGGGGGTTTTGGGGGTATTTGTGGGGTCTCAGAACCCCAGGGGGGTTTTGGGGGATGTTTTTGGGGTCTCAGAAGCCCAGGGGGTTTTGGGGTCTCAGAACCCCAGGGGGGTGGGCACCACGACCCCCCCGCTCTCCACCACGGCCCCCGCCAGGTCCCGAAGGCTCCGGAAGTTCCGTCCGGGAAGAGGCCGAAGGGACCCCAAAACCCGCTCGTGGGCCTGGGGGGGGGGCACACGGGGGCCAGGACACCCCAAAAACCCCCAAATACCCTCCTAATTCTCCCACATCCACCTGGACCCCAAAGCCCCCCCAGGGAGCCCCAAAACCCCTCAAAACCCCCCAAGACCCCCTAAAACCTCTCCCAGATCCCCCCCCCGGAACCCCCGAAGACCCCTCAAAACCCCCCCAGTCCCTTCCAAAGACCCCATAATTTCTCCTCAAAACCCTCAACGACCCCCAAAACACCCCAACACCTCCCCAGTACCCCCAAAATCCATTTGGTGCCTCCCAGACCACCCCAAACCCCCCAATCTGTCCAGAGCCCCCCCAATCCCTCCCAGCTCCCCACCAAGGACCCCCAGATCCCCTCAAACCCCCCAGGCCCAACCTAAATGCCCCCAACCCCTCCCCAGACCCCCACAAATCCTCTCTAAACTCCCCCAATCCCTCCCAGCCTCCCCCGGACCTCCCCAAAACCCCCCAAGAGCCCCCAGGAGCCCCCACCTGCTGGCACCAGGTACTGGCGAGCAGCCGCTCGTGCTGGGCCGTGGGGACCCCCGAGCTCAGCGACCTCGAGGCCCTGGGGGGGCACAGGGGGTCAGGGGACCTGGGAGCCCCCAAATTCGGGGAGTCCCCAAATTCCCAAAGCCCCCAGGGCCCCCCCTCGTACCGGGACAGCACCACGGCCATGGCGTAGATGTCGATGGCGGCGTCGGCCACGCGCTTGAGGGCGAACTGCTCGTCTTTTGGGGGATGAAATTTGGGGGTGAGACCCCTGAAATTGAACTCAGCCCCCTGAAAACCCCCGGAACCCCCAAACTCCACCCAGGAATGCCCCAAATCTGACCCGGATCCCCAAATCCACCCTGGGACCCCCCAAAAATCCCATCCAGGACCCCCCAAATTCCATCAGGGACCCCTAAAATCTGACCTGGGACCCCCCCAAATCCCACCCTGGGACCTCCCAGCGCTTTGGGGACCCCCCAAACCGACCCCAAACCCTCCAACGATGAAAAATACCCCAAAGTCCCCCAAACCACCCCAATCCCCACATCAGGGGGTCTCCTGACCCCTCCTGACCCCCCCCCAGTATTTGGGGACCCCCCCAATAATTCTGGGCCCCCCCAGGCGCACCCACGATCCTCTTGCCGTGCTTGAGCAGCAGCGCGTCGGCCGTCTCGGCGAACAGCTCCAGGCACTGCATCGTCTGGGGGGGCACGGGGGTCACTCCTGCCCCCAGCACCCCAAAATTTGGGGGATTTTGGGGGTCCCAAAGCTCCCCCCCCTCCCCTCCTCACCTGCTGGGCGCTGTCCTTCAGGTCGGGGTGCACGAGGTGCTGCAGGGAGAGCCCCGAGCCCAGCCCGGCCTTCCTGGGGGGGCACCCCAAAAATCAGCCCCCGAAATTGCCCCACAGAATCAAAGCCCCAAAATCAGCCCCCCAAAAATCACACCCCAAATATCAATCCCCCCAAAAACAACGCCCCAAAATCAGCCCCGAAATTGCCCCACAGAATCAAAGCCCCAAAAATCAGCCCCCCAAAAATCAAACCCCAAATCACGCCCCAAAAATCAATCCCCCCAAAAACAACGCCCCAAAAATCAGCCCCTCCAAAGTGACCCCCAAAGATTTCGGGGAGTCTTGGGGTGGGGTTGGGGGTCAGGGATTATAGGGGGAGGGATTTGGGAGGGCAGGTTTGGGGGTTCTCAGGTGGATTTTGGGGTCTCAGGGGGCTTTGGGGTGGGGTTGGGGAGTTTTTAGTGAGTCTCAGAGGAGTTTTGGAGATCAGGGATTTTAGGTGGGGTTTAGGGGTCTCAAGGGGGTTTTGGGGGGGTTTTTGGGGAAGGGTTGGGGGTCCCGGGGGTCCCTGTACCTGCGGAGCCTGCGGGTGACCTCCCCCGTCAGGACCCCCACATTGCCCAGGGGGTTCTTCAGGGCCGCCTGGACCCCCCTCAGCTGCACCCCCAGGGTCTGTGTTTGGGAGGGAACAAAGGGGGGGTCAGGGGGACCCCCAAATATGGGACTGTCCCCAGTCCCCTCCCAGTGCTTCCAGTCCCTCCCAGTCTCTTCTAGTCCCTCCCAATTCCCTCCCAGTGCCCTCCCATCCCCTTCCAGTCCCTCCCAGTCATTCTCAATCCCCTCCCAGTTCCCCTCAATCCCCTCCCAGTGCCCCACAATCCCCTCCCAATCCAGAGAAAAACGGCGAGAAACACGAGGAGAAAAACGGTGAGAAACGCGAGGGGAAAATGACGGGAAACGTGAGGGGGAAAAGGGCGGGAAACGTGAGGGGGAAAAGGGCGGGAAACGTGAGGGGAAAAGGGCGGGAAACGTGAGGGGAAAAAGGGGGAGAAACGTGAGGGGAAAATGGCGGGAAATGTGAGGGGAAAAGGGCGGGAAACGTGAGGGGGAAAAGGGGGAGAAACGTGAGGGGAAAATGGCGGGAAACGTGAGGGGAAATGGCACAAAACGTGAGAGTCCCCCAGATCCCCTCTTTAGACCCACAACAACCCCCTGGGACCCCCAGGATCACATCCCAGTCGCTCCCAGTGCCCCCCAGTCCCACCTGGAAGCCCTGCAGGGCCACGAAGAGCCTCAGGATGTCGTTGGTGCCCTCGAAGATGCGGAAAATCCGCAGGTCCCGCAGGACCCGCTCCACCCCCGGCTCCTGGGGGACCCCAAAAGCGGCGTCACCCCCAAATCGGGGGGTCCCCAAAACCGGGAGGGGGCCCAAAAAAACCCCAAGAAACGCCCCAAAAATGTGGGAAATCCCCCCCCCAAAACCCAGGGAATTCCCAACTCTCAGGAGGTCTCCCCCATCCCAGAGAGGGTCCTTGAAATCTGAAGGGGACCCCAAAATATGGGGAAGGGACCCAAAACCCCAAAAAACCACAAAATCTGCCCCAAAACACAGGAATTCCACCCCAAAACCCACCAAATAACCCCCAAAATCCAGGGAATTCCCAATCCCCAGGGAGTGCCCTGATCCCAGGGGAGTTCCCCGACACTCAGACGGGTCCCCCCAAAATCTGGGGGTCCCCAAAACCCCGGGGACCCCCCGTAAAAACTCACCCTCATGAAGCCCATCCCGCCCATCACCTGGATACACTCGTCGGCCACTTCCCAGGCCGCTTCCTGAGGGGAAAAATTCGGGAATTCTGGGGGTCCCCACACCCCAAAATCCCACAGGGGGGTCCCCAAAACCTGAGGGACCCCCCCCCCATCCCCCCATGTTTTAGGGATGCCCCTGGGGTTGGGAATCACCCGGATTTTTCGAGATTTTGGAGGGATTCCTGCAGGGGTTTGGGGGGGGAGGTCAGGGGTTTTGGGGTCCCCCCCGAATTTTAGGGACCCCTCCCGATTTTGGGGATCCCCCCGGGGGTGTCGGGGGCCCCCTGCCCCAATCCCCACCGAGCCAAAGATCTTGCTGATGGCCGCCTCGATCTGGAAGTCGGGGTCCCCCCGGTCCATGTTGGCGCTGATCATGTAAGCCATCGACTTTGGGGGGGGGAAACACAAAAAAGGGGGGTTTAGGGGCGGCCCCAAATTTTGGGGACCCTCCCCGGGACCCCCCCAGATGCCAAAGTACCTCAGTGACGTACTGGAGCAGAGCCATCCGCGCCAGCTTCTCCTGGATGGCCCCGAACTGGTGGATTTTGGCCCCAAACTGGGTGCGGTCGGTGGCGTGGGAGACCTGAGGGGAGGAAGGGAGGAAATTTGGGGGGGGGGTCCTCAAAATCGGGGAGAGGTGCCCAGAATTTGGGGGGGGGGAGATCAGGAAAGGAGGCAGGAGGAGAGGAGAGAGATTGAGGTGGGAGGGGGGGTGGAGGTTTGTGGGTGTTTTGGGGGAGTTTGGGTACATTTGGGGCCCTCATATTTGGGGGGGACCCCAAAATTTGGGGAGGGGGATCCTCAAATCTTGGGGGGTCTAAGAAAACGGGGAGGGAGCACAGAAAGGAGATTGGGGGGGTCCCATGGGGTGTTTGGGGGTATTTGAGAATCCTGGGGAGAGGTTGAGGTCCCAGTGGGATTTGGGGGAAGTTTTGGGGGTCATGGAGGAGTTCTGGGAGTCCCGGGGGTGTTTTGGGGTGCCCCAAATTTGGGGCTGATTCACAGCAGCGCTGATGAAGACCCTCATGGTGCCAGCCGTGGCTGAGGGGGTGTTTTGGGGTGCTGGGGGGTTTTGGGGTCTGTGGGTCCCAGGGAGGTCCTGGGGTGTTTTGGGGTGCCCCAAATTTGGGGGTGACTCACAGCAGCGCCGATGAGGCCCCTCATGGTGCCGGCCATGGCTGAGGGGGTGTTTTGGGGTGCTGGGGTGTTTTGGGGCGCCCCAAATTTGGGGGTGACTCACTGCAATGCCAATGAGGCCCCTCATGGTGCCGGCCATGGCTGAGGGGGTGTTTTGGGGTCTTGGGGGTTTTTAGGGTCTGTGGATCACAGGGTGGGTTTTGGGGGTCCTGAGGGGTTTGGGGTGCCCCAAATTTGGGGGTGACTCACAGCAGCGCCGATGAGGCCCCTCATGGTGCCGGCCATGGCGGCGGCCATGCCGAAGCGGCCGTTGTTGAGGATGTTCATGGCCACCTTGAAGCCTCCCCCGGGCGGTCCCAGCACGTTCTCGGCCGGGACTCGAACGCCGTCAAAGTGAACCGAGGTCGTGTTGGACGCCCGGATGCCCAACTTCTTCTCGGGGGGGCCGCTGGGGGGGCCAACATGGGGGGGGATCAGGGCACCCCAAAACCCGGCGGGGCCACCCCGACACCCCGCACCACAGGGGAACCCCCCGGGACCCCCCAAAAGCACTCTGAGCCCAGAACCCACCCCAAAAGGCCCCCAGAGCTCCCTCTCCCTCTTTTGGGGCACCCCCCACTCACTGGGTGACACCCCCAAATGCCCCCCAAACCCCCTCTCCCCTCAGCCCCTCACCCTGGGAGACCCCGGAGCGGCTTCAACACCCCCTCCCTGACCCCTCCCAAATTCCAGGGTGGCCCCCACTTTTGGGAGTAATTTTGGGGTGCATCTCCCTGATTTTGGGGTGCCCCCTGACTCCGGGTGCCCCGTTTCTCACTGTGTGACGCCGCCGAAGCCCCTCTCGACGATGAAGGCCGTGATCTTGTCCTTGCTCTCGCCGGTGGCCTCGTCCCGCATGGGGGTCTTGGCGAACACGGTGAACAGCTCGGCCAGGCCCCCGTTGCTGGGGTGGGGGTTCAGGGACATTTTAGAAGGGATCAGGATTTTGGGGACCCCCGGGAGCCCCCCGAGGCCCCCACCTGATCCAGATCTTGGTGCCCTCGAGGGTGTAGAAGGTGCCACATGGGCTGGGCGTGGCGCGGGTCCGGATGGACGCGGCGTCCGAGCCGCTGCCCGGCTCCGTCAGGCAGAACGCGGCCATCCACTCCCCTGAAACGGGGGGGACACCCCAAAATCCTGAGACACCCCCCCCAGAGCCCCCAGAGCCTGCCCGGCTCCGTCAGGCAGAACGCGGCCATCCACTCCCCTGAAACAGAGGGGACACCCCAAAATCATCAGACCCCCCCCCAGAACCCCCCGAGCCTGCCCGGCTCCGTCAGGCAGAACACGGCCATCCACTCCCCTGGAACAGGGGGGACACCCCAAAATCCTGAGACACCCCCCCAGAGCCCCCCGAGCCTGCCCGGCTCCGTCAGGCAGAACGCGGCCATCCACTCCCCTGAAACAGGGGGGACACCCCAAAATCATCAGACACCCCCCCCGGGGGTCCCCTGAACCCCCAGAGCCCCCCCAGCCCTGCCATTCCCACCATGGGGGTCCCCAAACCCAGAGTGTATTCTGGGGGTACTTTGGGGTAATTTTGGGGTGCTTTGGGGGGTCCCAGTACCGGTGGCCAGGTGGGGCAGGTACTTCTGCCGCTGCTGGGGGGTCCCAGGGGGTGTTTTGGGATATTTTGGGGTTATTTCAGGGTAATTTGGGGTGTTTTGGGGTGTCAGTACCGGTGGCCAGGCGGGGCAGGTACTTCTGCCGCTGCTGGGGGGTCCCAGGGGGTATTTTGGGGGTATCTCAGGGTAATTTGGGGGTTTTTTGGGGGTGCCAGTACCGGTATAGGCAGGGCAGGTACTTCTGCTGCTGCTGGGGGGTCCCAGGGGGTGTTTTGGGGATATTTTGGGGTATCTCAGGGTAATTTGGGAGTTTTTTGGGGTGACAATACCGGTGGCCAGGCGGGGCAGGTACTTCTGCCGCTGCTGGGGGGTCCCGTAGAGCAGCAGCCCCTTGAAGCCGATGGACTGGTGGGCTCCCAGCGTGATCCCCACGCCCAGGTCGTGCTGCCCCACGATCTGCACCAGCCGCGCGTACTGGGGGACTGGGAGTTACTGGGGGCACTGGGGGGTCCCCAAGCTCGGCTGGGGGCCCCCGGGGAGGGGATCAAAAAGGGGGTCCTGGTGGGGTTTAGGGGGTCCCCCAGCTCAGGGGGGTGCTGGGGTGTCCCTGGGGGAGGTCCTGGGGGTTCCCCCCCTCACCTGTGTGTTGCTGAGCCCCAGCCCCCCTAGCTCGGGGGGATCAAAGGGGGTCCCCAGCTTGGGGGTCCCTAGGGGGTCCTGGGGGTTCCCCCCCCTCACCTGTGTGTTGCTGAGCCCCAGCCCCCCCATCTCGGGGGGCACCTGCAGCCCGAAGGCCCCCAATTCCTTGAGCCCCCGCAGGGTCTCGTCCTCCACCCGCTCCAGGGCGTCGTTCTTGAAGGGGTCGTTCACCTCCTGCCCGGGGTGGGGGGGGTTGGAAAACGAAGGAGGGGCTCAGGGGGGGTCCCCCGAACCCCCACCCCTCTCCCCCCGTGGGGTGGGAGCCCCAAAAAGCCCCTTTTTCACCTCAAAGAAGCGGCTGACGGGGTCCACGAGCTCCCGCAGGGTCTGCTCCTGCTCCTCGCTCAGCACTGCAGGAGGGGACACCCCCAAAATGGGGGGGGCAGCCCTGAATTAGGGGGGACCCATCCCAAGGACACCCCCAAAATGGGGGGGGCAGCCCTGAATTAGGGGGGATCCATCCCAAGGACACCCCCAAAATCCCTGAGAGCCCCCCCCAAACCTTCTCAAATCCCAATCCTGGACCCCCCCCTGAAATCCCAGGACCCCTCAACCCCCCCTCCCTCCTCAGGTTCTGGGACCCCCTCCCCCAGGACCCCCCAAAACCCCTCAGACCCCTCCCCAAAGCTCCCCAGATCCCAATTCTGGAACCCCCAAAACCCCCACTCCTGGATCCCCCGATCCTGTGACCCCCCCAAGGACCCCCCCATATCGGGGGTCCCCCCCACCTGAGGGGTAGGGGAAAACCTGCTCCGTGTTGAGACGCCCCAAAAACATCCCCACAGCGAAGGATTTCGACTCCTGGGGGGGCAATTGGGAGATGTTGGGGGCTTTGGGGGCAACCCCAAACCCCCCCGGACCCCCAGGGACCCCCAGGGACCCCCCAACTCACCTCCAGCCCTGCCTGAGGTTTCGGGGGGGCCGCGGTGGCCGTCGGGGCCCCCGTTTTGGGGAGGACGGCCTGGGGAGGGGAGAGACCCCAAAAAACCATCAGAGAAACCCCCCCCCAAAAAGCAGCAGAGACCCCCAAAAACCCTCAGAGATCCCCCCAAAAAATCAAAGACTCCCAAAAAGCATCAGAGACCCCCAAAAGATCGTGAGACCCCCAGATGCCCCCAAAAATCCCCAACAACTCCCACAGAGCCCCTGAGAAACCTCCAAGGACCCCCTCAAACTCCCCCAGATCCCCTAAACCCCTCCCAGGACCCCCAAATCCCTCGGGGACCCTTCAAACCCTCCCAGAATCCCCCAAACCCCCTCCCAGGACACCCCTCCAAACCTCCCCCCGCCTGCCTTTGACCCTTCCCCAGTTTCCACTGTGTGACCTTTGCCCCAGTTCTGACGTCACGGGGAGGAGTTTGGGGGTTTTTGGGGTCCCTACCTGTGCCTGGTGGGTGCTCTGCAGTCGGGACCCCCGAGCCTGTGCAAGGGAAGGGGGTGGTCTCAGAAGGACCCCCAAAATCCCACCGACCCTGCCCCCCCCAAAATTCTGGGGTCCCTCAAGCCCTGGGACCTCCCCAAAAGTCCCTGGACCCGCCCCAAAAACCCTGGGACCCCAAAAATCCCAGTTCCGGGTGTGTCCCCCACCTCCTGTTCTGGGATCCCCGGACAGCCGGAGGGACCCCAAAAACTCCCCAAAATCCCGGCACCCTCTTAAATCTCCGCTCCTGGGACCCCCAAATTCTACCCCCTCCCCAAAGTCCCGGGACCCCCAAATTCCGAGGATTCCCCGAACCCCCTAAAATCCTGAGACCCCCGACCGACCTCAGGAACCCCCTCCCCGTGCCCTCCCAAAATCGCGGAACCCCCTCCAGGACCCCCCAAATCCGCTCGTGGGATCTCCCAAAATCAGGGACCCCCAAGCTCAGGGACCCCCATCAGTCCCAGGACCCCCAATTTTGGGTGGGTGTGTCCCCCTTCCCTCCCCCCTTTCTCACCCCGGCGGGACCCTCCGGAGCAGCCGCAGCCCCGCCCCCATCGCCAGCCCCATGGCGGCCATGTCGCCGCTGTCGCCGCTGTCGCCGCTGTCGCGATAGTGCCCCGGAGGGGGGGTGTCCCCGGCTGTTCCCCGGCCCCTCCCCTCAAGGTCACGGCCCGGGGGAGGGGCTTTTACCGCCCCCCCCCCCGTTCGCGGGGCACGATGGGAAACGTAGTGAGCCCCGCCCAGTCCCAAATTTGAATTTATGCTAATTTTGCTAATTTATGCTAATGAGGCACGATGCGGGAAGGGCCCTTTGTGCCGGCAGGGGGCGCACTGAGCCCCAGGCCTGGTCACGCCTCCGTCGCCATGGTGACGCGGTGGTGGGCGTGGCCTCGGGGAGGGGGCGTGGCTTGAGCAGGTAAAAAGTGAGTATTCTGATCAAACTCGGAAAATATTCGAAATAAGCAAATGTTGCTCAGTTTAAACGCCTTTTTTGCTTCTAAATATAAGTTTAATGCTTTTTTTTTATACTTTGGTGTCTGTTCCCCCCAACTCCACATTTGGCACCTTTTTCCCCGTTTCCCGCCCTTTTTTCCCCCCTCACGTTTCCCGCCCTTTTTCCCCCCTCACATTTTCCACCATATTTCCTTCACAATTCCCACCCTTTTCCCCTCACGTTTCCTCCCCTTTTTCCCCTCAGTTTCCCCCCATTTTCCCCTCCCATTTTCCCCCTTTCCCCCTCCCATTTTGGGGGGGCCGAGGGTGGCCTCGTGGGGTTCTGGTTCTTCACCAGACGGACAGACAGACACGACCCCTCCCCGGTACGAAGCAACAGCGCCGTTTATTTACAAGGGGGGGGCTGCAGCCCCACAAAATCCAAAATATTATCCTTCAAACAAAAAGGGGAAGGGGAAAAAAGGTGTGTGTGTGGGGGGGGCCCCCAAATTCCACCTGAGGGAGATGGGGGGGACCCTCCCCAAAAAAAACCCCATAACTCCCCCCTCCCCATCTGGGACAGACTCTGCCCAGAACGGGGATCCCCCCCCTCCCACCACAATGATGCTCTGAACACCCCCCAAATTTAGGGGGGGAGAGGGGGGGCCCCCCAAAAAAAGTGGGGCGCAGGGAACGTTTAGAAAAATAACACACATGAAAAAACTCGATTCCAAAACCTCAGGTCTCGGGGGGGGGACACCCCCAAATGCTCCCCCTCCCCTTGATTTAGAGGGGGAACCCCCCCTCCCCAAAGCTTGTACCAGGGATGAGGGACCCCAAAACGTCGTGATGGGGGGGGAGGGACCCCCCTTGTCTTAGGGAGGGGTCCCCCAAACCCTTTAGTCTGGGGTAAGGGACCCCCAGCCCTCCTCCTGTATTTTGGGGGAGTCCCTAAATCTCTTCCTCTGGAGACAGGGACCCTCCTGTCCTGTCCTGGGGTTTGAGGGGGGGACCCCAAAACCTCATGATTTCGGTAGGGGGCCCCCAAAAGCCCCCTATTTTAGGGGGGGACCCCAAATCTCAGTCGGGGGTGAGGGACCCCCAAACCCTCCCATCCTGGGGGTGGAGGAGACCCCAAAGACCTCCTGATTCGGGGGAAGGGCCCCCCAAATCTCATAACCCAGGGGGAGAGGGACCCCAAAACCCTCCTGTCCTGCAGATGAGGGACCCCAAAACCTCCTGCCCTGGGGCCGAAGGACCCCCAAACACCCCCATTTTGGGGGCGAGGGACCCCAGAACCGCTTATCTTTTGGGGGAGGGGGGGGTGAGGGGTGAAGAGCCCCCCCAAAACCACCCCCATCTCAGGGCTGAGCGACCCCAAAAACCTCGTGGCTTCGGGGGCTTGAGGACCCCAAAACCCCCAAACCCAGGGTGGGGGGGGAGGGTGCCCAAAACCTCATTTCTTGAGGCTTCCTCCCATTTTAGGATGGACACCCCCCCAAAAATCAACCCCCCCAGGCAGGGGGGGCTCCGTCAAAGGTGACTCTTGGGGCGGGGGGCAGGGGGTTGTTTTAGGAGTCCCCCCCTCCTGCTCTGGGCGTGCCGGGGGGGGCTCGGCGGGGCCCCTCCCTGCATTTTTGGCAGTAGAAGACGTCGGGGACGTTGTTCTTCTTGACCTTGGCGCAGGACAGGTGGATCCACGTCCCGCACTGGCTGCACTCGATCATCGGCCGCCCCGCGAACGGCTTCTGGCAGTAGCAGGTGATCAAATCCCACGAGTCGTCACCTGGGCAGGGCAATTCGGGGCTCAGGGGGACCCCAGGAACGGCGAGGGGGCTGCCCCGCTCTCAGGAGCCCTCCCGGGGTCACCCCAATCTCCTGAATTCACATCCCAAACACCCACCCTGGGGTCACCCCAAATCTCCTGAATTCACATCCCAAACACCCCCAGGGGTTACCCCAAATCTCCTGAATTCACATCCCAAACACCCACCCTGGGGTCACCCCAAATCTCCTGAATTCACATCCCAAACACCCTCCAGGGGTCACCCCAAATCTCCTGAATTCACATCCCAAACATTCCCCTGGGGTCACCCCAAATCTCCTGAATTCACATCCCAAACCCCACCTTGGGGTTACCCCAAATCTCCTGAATTCACATCCCAACCACCCCCCCGGGAGTCGTTCAAAGTCCTCCACGGAATCCCCCAAAGCCCCGGGACCCCCTCAAAATACCCTCAGAGAAGCCAAAACCCCCCTTGGACCCCCCAAACCCCTTCCCATTCCCTCTAGACCCCCTCCAGGACCCCCCAAACCCCCTCCCATTCCCCTCCAAACCCCTCCAGGACCCCCAAACCCCTCCAGGACCCCCAAACCCCCTCCCATTCCCTCCAGGACCCCCAAACCCCTCCCCATTCCCTCCAGACTCCCTCCAGGACCCCCAAACCCCCTCCAGGACCCCCAAATCCCCTCCAGGACCCCCCAGACCCCCTCCAGGACCCCCAAACCCCCCCCGAGGCTCACCCGACTCCACCATGATGTCCTCGCCCATGACCCTGGTGTCCCCTCGCTGGAGCTCCCGTCCCCGCCGCCGTCCCGGCTCGTCTCGGTGCTGCCCCTGCCCCCTGCCCTCCTTGGCCCCCCGAGCCCCCAGCACCGCTCCCCTCACGGCCCCCAGCTTCTCTCCCCGGCCCTTCGGGGGCAGCGGGGGCGGGGGTGGCGGCGGGGGGCGAGGGGGCCCTCCTCCGAGTCCGTCTCGCTGGGAGACCCCTGGCCCCCGGGCCCTGACCCCCATCCCTGTCCCCTTCTTCCAGCGCCTCTTCTTGCTCTTCTTGAGCCGCAGGCGCCTCGCGCCGCCCCCGGCTCCCTCGAGCCCCCGGCGGCTGCGGCGGCCGCGGCGTCTCTGGGGGTCCCGGCGGGCGGGAGGCGGGCGGGGGTCCTGGCCGAGGGGGGCGGCGGCGGCGGGCGCGGGGGCGGGGAGGTCGAACAGGGAGTCCTTGAGGCGCATCTTGTCCAGCAGGGAGCTCTCGGGGGGGCCCAGCCCCCGCCGCTTGGACGACTTGGCCTTGCGCACGAAGGTCTCGATGGTCCGCAGGGCCGCGGGGGCCGAGCCCCAGCCGTCCCCCCCCTCGGCCTGCGGGGAGCTGGGGCCCGACGACGCCCAGGGGGGGTCCTGGGGAGGAGACACGGGGGTGAGAGCGGGTCAAACCACCCCTAAAACCCCCAGAAGGGCCTCAGAATCCCCCTCAAATCGCCCACGGAACCGTTAAATCCATCGCCCCTGGAACAGCTCAAATCCACCCCAATCATACCCCCCCACCCAGAACCTTCAAATCCACCCCAATTCCGCCCTCCAAAAACGCTCAAATCCACCTAAAATCCCCCCCCCAATATGCTCAAACACACCCTAAATCCCCCCACCCGAACTTTAAAATCCACCCAAAATTACCCCCAAAACCTTCAAATCGTTCCTAGAGCCTTAAAATTCCCCCATGTCCTGCCCAGAACTCTCAGATGCTCTCTAAAAACCCTCAAAAACCACCCAGAATTCCTCCCCGAACCCCGAAATCCCCCCAATCATCCCTAGAATCTTAAAATTTCCAGGTCCCGCCCAGAACCCTCAAATCCTCTTTAACCCCCCCAAATTACTCCCAGATCCCCCCAAATCCCCCATAAAATCATGCTGGAACATTAAAAATTCCCCCCAAAGTCTCCCTCAGAACCTTTGAATCCCTCCAACCCCCCCATCCAACATAAAGACCCCCACAAACTCCCCAAATCGCCCCAAAATCCCCCAAAGCCCCCCCACTCCGCCTCAACATGGCGGCTCCGCGCAAAGCGCGCCGGGATTTGTAGTCCTGAAACAGCCCGCGCCTACAGCTCCCATCACCCCCCGCGGCCCCTCGGGGGACGCGGCCACGCCCCCCGCGCCGCTATTGGTCCCCGCCAGGGAGCGGGCGGGGCGAGGCCAAAAGAAGAGCGGTGATTGGTTGAGCGGTGAAGGAGGCGGGGCAGGGCGAGCTGTCAATCAGGCGGCGCTGCCGGGGCGGCGGCGGGACGGGGGAGGCCCGGGAGGGGGAGGGGATTTTTGGGGTGTTTTAGGAGGGATTTCGTGAGAATTCAGGGAGCCAAGACCCTCCCGCACCCCTCTCGCCTCCTTTAACCACCTCCCGCCGCTTTAAAACCGCGCCCGGTGCCCCTCCGGTACCTCCCGGTGCCCCCTGGTAACTCCCGGTGACCCCCCCGCCCCGTTTTACCTCAGCGGCCGCCGGGATGTACCCGGCGTAGGCCAAGACGAAGCTGCAGAACTTATTGAAGTCCTCGATCGTCCTCCGCCGCTTCTCGGGGGGCTGCCGGGACCGGGAAGGGGGGGGGGGGGGTAAGAACCGGGAATTCCCCCCCCGGTACCGGAACCCCCCGCACACGGTACCGAGACCACCCCAGAACCGCCTTTACCTCCGCCCGGTGCTCCCTGGGAGTTAAACCAGGCGGGGAGGGTGGATTAAAGGGGATTCCTCTGCCGGTGCCCCCGGTACCTCCCGGTGCCCCCCCGGTGTCCCCTCCCCCCGGTGCCCCCCCCTCACCTGTGTCTCCGTTTTCAGGGTCGGCAGCGGCTCTGGAGGGGGAGGGCAAAAGGGGGGGGGGGTTATACCGGGACCGGCAGATTTACCCCCCCCCAACACGTCGTACCGGGATCCCCCCCCGCCCCGGGACCGGGACCGTGGGGCTTCCAAACCCCCCAGGACAGCGATCTGGGGGCTCCAGCCCCCCCCGGTACCGGGACCGTGGGGCTTCCAAACCCCCCCAGGACAGCGATCTGGGGGGCTCCAACCCCTCCCGGTACCGGGAGGCTTCCACAGCCCCCAGGACAGGGATCGGGGGACTCCAGCTCCTCCCGGTACCGGGAGGCTTCCAAACCCCCCCGGGACAGGGATCGGGGGGCTCCAACCCCTCCCGGTACCGTGGAGCTTCCCCACCCCCCAGGACAGGGATCGGGGGGCTCCAGCTCCTCCCCCCCTCTCCCGGTACCGGCATTCCCGGGGTGTGTTACCCCCCCGGGGGGCTCCGTTCTCTCCCGGTACCGGGAGGGGTCTCACAGCTCCAACCCCCCCCTCACTCCCCGGAGCGGGATTCCCAAGGGCTCCAGCCCTTCCCGGGATTCCCGAGGGCTCCAGCCTTTCCCGGTACCGGCTCCCTGTCCAGCCCCCCCTCCGCCGGTACCGGCACCCTGGGGGGTTCCAGCCCCTCCATTCCCGGCACTCCGGGGGGTTCCACCCCCCAATTCCCGGGAATTTCGGCTTCCCCCACTCCTGGCACCCTGGGCCCCAGACCCGCCTCCGCCGGTACTGGGGTCTCCAGTCCCCCCATTCCCGACATTCCCAGGATTCCAGCCCTGCCAGGACCGCCGGGGGTCCCAAGGCTCCAACCCCCCCATCTCCCGGTGTCCCTAACCTCCGCCAGGCACTGGGACTGTGGGGGCTCCAAAGCTGCCACCTCCGGGGGAAGGTTTGAGCCCCCAAAGTCCCGGTACCGGCTCCTGTCCCCCACCCCTCCATTCCGCCGCCATTCCCGCTTCTCTCCCCCCTCCCCACGCTCTCCCCCGGTACCTCCGTGCCTGTGCTCGGCCATGGCTCCGGTTTTCACCCCCTCCCCGGGGTCGCTTTGGCTTCCCCAGCCCCCTTCTCTCTCCGCGGTGGCTCCGTCCGGTGCCGCCTCGTTCCGCGCCGCCCCGCGCAGGCCCCGCCCCTGCCCCAAACCCCTGCCCTTCTCCAAACCCCGCCCACGTTCGTTTAAGCCCCACCCGCTGTCCCGCACGGCGCATGCGCGCTCCGCCCTCCCGCGCCTCTCAGACCCCCGCCCCTCTCCTGTGGCAAACCCCCGCCAGCCCTGCCCCCGGCGCGCGCTCCCGCAAGCCCCCGCCCCGGCCTCGGCGCGCCCGGCAGGAGGCCTCTCCCTGCGCGTGCGCGGCGCCACAAACCACGCCCACTTCCGGCGCGCTGAGGCGGCTCCGGCTCGTTTATTTGGGGAGGGGTCGTGGGAGGGCGGGCTTGGAAAGGGGGTCGGGAGCTGGGGAGGTGTTTCGGGTTGGGGAGGGGGCGTCAGGCTCCGTAGACGCCTCGTCGCTGTAGGCGATGTACAGGAAGAAATCCTCCTCGTGGTGTTCCTGGGGAAAGGGGGTTTAGGGGTCTTCAACCTCCCCAGACCTCCCCAGATTGGGGTGTTCCCTGGGATCAACAACCCCCAAAGGAGTCCCCAGGGGTGAGAACCCACCCAGGCCCCACCCCCAAAAAAGATCTTGGGGGTCTCTGTGGGGGGTCTCAACCCCCTGAGACCACTGGGAACTCCCCTAAAGGTCCGAGGGGGATCCTCGAGGTCACTCGCCCTCCCCATGGAGACCCCAGCAATTCCC